ATCAGTTCCCCTGTTATGAATATTTTTGAATAACTAATTTCTACTAATTGCCAGGTCAATGGGATAAGCAGTCTCTGAAGTGGGCCAGAGCCAGTTCCCAGGGCCACCATGAAGCCTGCACGTAGCTGGCTCCATACCCGGGCTGTGAACTCTTGCAGTCGGTGGATTGTTAGTGATCTGGCGGATCAGCCCAACGTGGTCCTTTCTGTGTGTTTAATTGCTGGCAGCACCAGACGCCTTCCTCTTGGCATCACTGTTAGTTTTCCATTGCTGTGTAACATACCAGCACAGACTGACTTAAAACAACAGTTGTTTATTCGCTAGGCTCTGAGGTCAGAGGTCCCGCCCAGCACGGCTGGGTTTCCCACCCAGAGGTCTGTCACCAGGCGTCATGGAGCCAGCAGCTGCTGGGCTCATGTCTGAAGCCCGAGGCTGGTCTCTTCCAAACCTAGCGTTGGCAGCATTCAGGTCCCTGCCACTGGAGGACTGTAGTTCCTGCTACCTTCCTGACTGGTGGCCAGGAATCAATGTTAGCAACCAATGGTCACTTTCAAGTCCTTTCAAGGGTCCCCTTCCACTCCTGGAGGTAGCCATGGAAAATACACATCTCTTGAGTCCGTTCTCTAGCAGAAAAGGCCAGGTCCTGCTAAGAGCTCCCCGGATTAAGAAAGGCCCCTCTGGGTCATCTCTCCTTTACTTAGCATGCAGTCGGTTGGTTAGAAATCTAATCACGAGACTCACACCCAGCGACATTTGCGGATTCCACACAGACGTAAGCTGGAGGCGGTAATCTTTCCTATAGCAGTTACCTATCCCTGCTACAAGAAATCACCACAAGCTGCTTAAAGCAACTGCCTTTAGTATCTTGTGGGTCTGGAGGCCAGAGGCCGAGAATGGGCTACCAGGGCTCCATCCCCTGTGGAGGGCCCAGCAGGCCAAGCTCCTTCAGCGCAGCCTCTAGAGACCTTCTGCATCCATCCACGTGCCATCCCTGCAGGTCCAAAGCCAACAGCGTTTGGGGTTCAACCTCTGCTCACCTCTTCCCTCCTTCCCCTCTGGCCCTTCCACCTCCCCCTTTCTGTGTTAGGGATCTTCATGAAGACACTAAAGCCACCTGGGCCATCACACACTGTCCCCCCACCCCGAATCCATAACTTAATCACGTCTACAATGTCCCTTGCGCCATGTGCAGTGACACATTCACAGGCTGTCCTTCCTGGATTTACAGCAGAGCGATTTACATTTATCAGTCGATATGATCATAGCAAGCCTTAGTATATTTCACACACTGAGGCCTCAAGTCTGCGTGTCTGCTGACTTTCTGCCCTTTCGCTCTTATTTTGTTGTCAGTTTCTGCTCAGAAAAATCCTGTGGCCTTTTAATGCTGTGGATTTGACAAGAGCTGTCCTGTGCCCCGTGACAGCATCCATTCCCTCAGCACACAGAAAGACGTTTTCGCTCACAGCGAGGACCCGTGGGGCCGTGGGTTCTTCCCCACTCCCATTCCGTTATTTTCTTTCTCTTTCTTCCCTTGGACCAGTTTGCCTTTCCACAGCGCGGGCTAACCGCGGTGTGAAATGACCTCGCTCAGAGGTCATTTCGAGGTTACTCTCGGCCCCATCTGTCACACCGTTTTCTGGTAGAGAGACCCGCCTGTGGGACACATGCTGTAGCCCACAGTCCTTGTGGAAAGCACAGGCAGTGAGCAGCGCCACTGAGGGCTCCGGCTGTGGCACGTTCCCCACTCCTCCAGCCAGGTGGGTCTGCCTCGCCGCCCTCGGCACCTCCCGCCACCACCTCACCACCATCTTGTCACCCCCACCTGCGCATCCTGCTTGCCTTCTTCTCCACCTCTAGGGACTGCTAACCGCTTTGTTATATGATGATAACACACTGCCATCTTTCCTGTTTTTAGATCTTCCCAGCATAAGAGATTCAGTTTCCGTTTCTTACCCTATCTTCCTTCTACAAAGCCTTCACAATTTTCCCTGAATAAATTTCTTACTGGGCAGATTAAATGAATTCTCACATGTTCAAAGGTTTTCTGTCCTTGTTACAAACTAATTGACTACGGACCCAGGGAGTCAGAGCAATGGAAATTATTTTTTAACTCATTTCATCTTCTGTAACTCTTTGAATGATTTCTGTATATTTTCTCAGTGGAGTAAATCCTTGAGGGTCATAGTTTGCAAAACCTACAAGAGACCCTGAGAGGCCATGCTACGGCCTAATATATCATTTTACTGGAGTTCAAAATTCCACCGCACCACTGCAAGAATCTGCAGGAGAAAGCCGCTTTTCAAAGAGCAGCAGCTTAGCCACATGATCAGTTTCTCAACATGCACTTATTGTTTATATATCAAAACTCCCAAACAGTGAGACAAGTGGTATTTCTTTGTACAAAAAGAAATGACCTCTACAGAAGCCACCTGCTTGCACTATGGCAAAGACACTCGAGCGTTGGCTTTAATGAATTTTAGTTCAGTATTTCCCAAGCCATGCTCCATTGAAAAGTGTGGCCAATGTGTATAGCTCTAGTAAAAACAAGGAAGAGGAAGAAAAAGAGGCGAACAAAAAGAAAGAGGGAAGAGGGAGGCGTAGAAATAGAGATCCAAAATAAGTTTAGGAAATGCTGGATATTGTATATTCTTTACCACCCAATCCCTTCACCTAGAAATTTACCACGATCACTTGTGTGGTAGAAAGCTCTTGCAGGCAGGCACTCATGCCCCTGAGCTATCTCCCCAGCTCTGAGCTCTCCCCCAACTTAAAAAAAAAAAAAAAAGTTTCATTTTATTTAATGCAATGTTTCTCAAACTTACTTGAGAACAAATATCTTTCTCAGGGCACATGGTGTGCCGTGAACCACTACTTTGGGGACTAATATGGTTCCTTAATGAGTCACAAAGTCATCACAAGCGGAAAATCATTTAAAGCATATCTACCTCAGTGAAGTTCATCCTGACAGAAGATACTACATACACGGGTAATGGCCTTCGTTTGGGCTTTCCTGGAGATTTTACAGCTCAGCTCCTTCCAGAACACCTTCAAATCATCAGCAAGTGGGTGGCGTTTCTTTCTTCCTTGCTCATTTTGGTGCAATCGGTTTGCTTGCCTTTCTGCATCGCCATTTCAGCAATGGTGAGCTCTGGTGTTTGTTGGGTCACCTACCAAAATCACCTATCTGTTGTGCTCGCTGTATGATAAGCATTTTATTAATAACAACTTGCAGATCTAAAATGATGCCACCGGGCGCCATTAGTGCTACCCTATTTCACAGAAGGAAAAGCGAAGCTTCAAAAGATACCGAAGCAACCTTGCCTGGACCAGATTTCTCAGAGAAACTGTCACTGATATATTCCTCCACCCATGTTATTGGTTCTCGTTGTAAATATAAATTTCATATGATGTAAAGGGAGAAAAATCTCCATTCTATTTTTAGCCAACATTAAGTATAAACATTACTGAATCCCTTAGACCTCTCGTGATTACCTTTCATGATCTTTTGCACTGAGATAAGTTCATTTTTCTGCCATGTTGGGTTAATGAAGCTTGATGCTAAATTTGGATTATACATTGCTGTGTGTTCATGCATCTTCCTGACAAGATCAAGATTTTATCTCTATGATCATAAATCAGATAGAAAATCACTGGTTTCTTTCAGTGGGGAAGAGGGCACAAATCACAGACACCTCAGTCAACTGGATATATAAAGATTTATGCACTGGAGCCTGCCGAACATGAAAGATTCCAGGTGTTCACATGCACAAGAGCACAGGAGGAAAACAGGCTTTCTCCCACAGCAGAGGAAAAGGACTAGGAGGGGACAATATCAACGATCCTTTGCTCTGTTTTCCCCAAGACCTAAGATGACTAACCCAAGTGGCCCCAGGTCCACAGACTGAAAACACAGGGCCAGCATCTGCTTCAGAGACATTTCTAAGTCCATCTTCTTCGCAGGTATGAACTTTCCATCTGTCACTTACCCACATCCGGGGAACACTCAAAAACCAATTATTGACAAAAAGGAAATGAGCCACCAAGCCAGTCTTTTTGAAAGGACAATGGCAATAGACTACTTTGATAGGTTGGAAGAAACAGCAAATGTCACCCTCCCTTGTCCTTCGGGTGCTGCAGGAGAAATGACTGAAGGTTCCAGTCCTGACTTGAAGGATCAGACCTGCGGAAAGGGAAAAGGGCCCCAAGGCTTTGTCGGCAGCTCCAGCACCTGAGGGTCCACAGAGCCCTGAGGTCCCTACTGACCCAGGCACTGGGACCTTCATGTCCCCTGTGGGCTCTCTGATCCCAAAGCAATGGAGTTTGGCCTACCCAAAACTCATAGCTCCAGAGAGTTCAAGGGGGCAAGAGTTAGGGACAATCAAGGGACAGAGACCAGAGCACCCTTCCTGAGGGGCCTTCAGCCAGTCCACGGCACTGGAGACCAAAGCACACTGAGAGGGCAGGCAGCAGGTGCATCAGGATGGACAGATGCGTCACAGGGGACAGACTCCAGGAGACATCCACACACCTCTGCTTTCCTCCGTTCTTACTCAGGCTTCAATCCTGCTGCCTCCGATTTTACTTCCTCCACCCTGAGTCCCTTTCCCCAGCCCAAACCCTGTTCTCCTTTGGGCCTGAGGCTCTTAAACTCTGCCCCACTCCACCTGAGAGTCCACGCTGGCCCTCTGCAGCCTGTCCTAGGCCCTGGTGCCTCTCTCCTGCCCCTGTCCCCGCCTCTGCTCCTATCCCTAGGCCCTGTCCCCTGCCCCAGGGTGCTGTGAAGCCCCAGAGCCCCTCTCTCCCCTCCCATCTTGGTGGGGTCCGCAGTCAGTTCTCCTGTTGCTCAGAGCTGTGGAGGCAGTTGCTAAGAGACGGTGAAACGTCACTACCTGGCCCTCGAGGAAAAAGGGGAGCGAGAAAGCGCGAGGGGAGGGCAGGGATGGAGGGAGGGGAGGGAGGGGAAGCCCGGGCTCGGCTGGAGCCACCTACCCAGGCGGCCTCAGCCCCCGCTGAGTTTCCCCACGCGCCTTTCGGATGCTGTGAACTTTCCACCAAGCCTCCTCCCTCGGATTCCCGGTGCGGATAACAGAAGGGACTCGGGGACCCCGGACCGGAAGGCAATGCAGCGCTGGCCCGGGATGCGGGCGAGCAGACTGAGCAGAGCCAGGGGAGGGCGGAGCCGGGTCGGCACCGGCTCGGGATCCCAGGAGCCAGCGGGGAGCTGCGGCCGCGGACCCTCAGGCGTCCTTGGAACCGGTAAGCCGGACGCCTGGGGCGTGGCACAGGGATCCCGGGTGGGAAAGGGCTCCGGATCGGTGGGGCTACCCCTCCCCCGGGGTTGCCCTGTGGGCGAGGCTGAGGATGGAGGCGCCAGCGGGGATGGTGGGGTGCAGGGATGCCGAAGGAGGACCGCAGGCGGGGCAAGGGCGCGGGGAGCCCGGGATGGACAGGGGGCAGGGGCAGCGCTGCGCACCCCGAGGCCGCTGCCTGGGTGTGGACTCAGCTGGGCCGCGAGTGCAGGGAGCGCGCAGAGGACGCCGGGGCGGGGACGCTGGGGGCAAGGGAGGGTCTGCAGGGGCTGTGCAGCCGGAAAGGGGAGGTGTGCGCAGGCAGCAGAGACAACACTCAGAGTCGCAGAGTGGGGAGCGTGGGGGTGAGAGAGAGAAGCTGGGGGGGGGGCGGCCTAGAAAGCGTCTGAAGGATGTGCGGTGGACCACAGCGTGGCTGCCGGTTTTCTTAGGGAGTTGTTCGCGGGTGGAGCGCTCAGGCTGATGGGGCGGAGCTCTGAGCAGAATAAAATGCAACCAGCCCAGGACAGAAAGCCGATGGGCAGGTGCTGCGGTGCCCGCTGGGGGCTGAGCTGGGGCAGACCCCAGGTTCATATCTGAAAGTCAGCACACAGAACTTTGTGGCTGGAGTGAAAGAGAGAAAAAGGGAAAGGGACAAGGGAGGTGGGAGGTGGGAGGTGGGAGGTTCAGGCCCGATTCTGCCCTGAGTGCCTTCCTTGTTCACAGTGTGAATTCCGCCCCCACCTGCTGAATGCACCGCTGGTCTCAGGGGGCTGAAGGAGCAGCCGGAGCAGCCCTGCCGACCCCGCCCCGGGCCCCTGGGACGCATGACTCTCTCCACCTTGGGTGGCCCAGGCAGTGGGTGTCGCGTGGGGTCCTCCCCTTTCTGGGAAGCACAGAGCCTCCCTGGAGCTCCGAGGGGTCACTAAGGCTGAGGACTGTGGCTCGCAGCTGGAGCGTGGAGACTGTCCTCCTTGGGGCTCCCGGCTCAGCACCCCCAACCAGGACCTCCTCTGCCTTCAGCTGGGCCACCAGCAGAACCGGCCTCTGCGGCCTCCCTCCGATGCTGCAGACCCAGGTGCAGCCCTGGCTTCCTCATCTGCCCCAGGCTGGATACAGGGCTTAAGTTTCCTCAGAAGAAGTGCCAGGACCTTTAAGGGCCCTACCTCCCAGCCCCCTCCAGGCATCAAGAGGAAGCGTCCAGCAGGCATGGGTGGCAGGGGCACCAAAGAGCTGCAGGGACCCTCCTGGGTCCTGCTGGCAGCCGCTCCAGGGCCAGCCTTGCTCTCTTCCTTTCTCGAGTTTTGATCATCTTCCCCAGACCGTGGGGGATCCCAGCAGGGTTCCTGGATCCCTAAGCTCCCAAGGTGACTTCCTGTGGCGCTTGGGGGTCCCCAGGCGAGGCTGGTACCATGGGGCCACGTGGCCAGAAGCCCCACCTTCAGGACTGGGGCCTCTGATGCCACTGCCTCCCCAGGCACTGACTTGGCTCCCTGCACACTGCCTGATGGGCCCCCTTCAGTCTTGCCGGTGCCAGCTGCCCAAGATGGGTGATACCTGGGCTCAGCTCCCCTGGCCTGGGCCCTGCCACCCGGCCTTGCTGCTGCTCTCCCTCCTCCTGGCAGCTGGGGTGATGCCCACGGGTGGGGGTGCTAGCTGCCCGGTCCTGTGCACCTGCCGTAACCAGGTGGTGGACTGCAGCAGCCAGCGGCTATTCTCTGTGCCCCCCGACCTGCCGATGGACACCCGCAACCTTAGCCTGGCGCACAACCGAATCAGCACCGTGCCGCCCGGCTACCTCACCTGCTACATGGAGCTCCACGTGCTGGATCTGCGCAACAACTCCCTGGTGGAGCTGCCCCCAGGGCTCTTCCTGCACGCCAAGCGTCTGGCGCACCTGGATCTCAGCTACAACAACCTGAGCCACGTGCCGGCTGACATGTTCCAGGCGGCCCACGGGCTCGTGCGCATTGACCTGAGCCACAACCCCTGGCTGCGCAGGGTGCACCCCCAGGCCTTCCAGGGCCTCGTGCGGCTCCAGGACCTTGACCTCAGCTACGGCGGCCTGGCGTTTCTCAGCCTCGAGGCCCTCGAGGGCCTGCCAGGCCTGGTGACCCTGCAGATTGGGGGCAACCCCTGGGTGTGCGGCTGTGCCATGGAGCCCCTGCTCAAGTGGCTCCGGAATAGAATCCAGCGCTGCACAGCGGGTAAGGGCGGAGGCTGGGGGAGGGGTTGTGGAAGCACAGGCGTGGCCAGAGAGGGAGTGGCTGGGGGTCTTGAGCAGCCTCCGGGGGTCCAGTGTGTGCTGCCAGGCACTTGTTACATTCATGCAGTGCATGTGCAGCCCTGGAGTCCCACGCATTGCGTGAAACCTCTGTCCCCTAGCCACTGTGGCATTCGTGACCCAGCAAGGCAGGCGCACAGTAAGCAAGGGAGAGGAGCTAGGGAGACATTGCTCGTTAGCTTCCACCAGGGCCTACGAGCTTGGCATGCATTCTCTCATCCAGGCCGGGTCGCTACTGTTCGCTTCTCCAGATGAACAGACTGAGAGTTAGACTGAAAAAAAAAAGTATCTGGAGCCACTCGCTTAGAAAGTAATAGGGCCAAAATCAGGGTTTATTTGACTTCTAAGCCTCAGTCTACTCTACCCAGCTGCCTTTGAAGTGTTGCGTGCTACGAACACACTCTAAAAAGAGTAAGTGAGAGTCACTGTTTATTTTAGTACTTCCTACCTACCACGCCCTGCTCTAAGCACATTACGCATTTAAGCCCAGCATACCCTCGCAAAGCATCAGTGGAGCTGCTACGCTACTGAGGAGGAAACTGAGGCACAGAGAGATTTGGAACCTTGACCCACAGCTGAAGTATCAGAGTTAGGTCCTGAGTTTGGGGCTGGCCAAGGACTCCAGCAAGGGCTATCTGGGTACGTGTGGGCCATGTGGCCAAGGCAGGGCCAGGCTGCTGCAGTCTAAGCAGCCAGTCCCAACTGCAGGGTCCTGAGGAGCACAGGTCCAATAGACTTATGGGGCCCAGCCTGGCCCAGAAGCAAAGTGTGGCAGTGGCCTGGCCACCAGCTCCCACGGGACATGCTAAGCCTTGGCCCACATACCCAGCTGCAGACCCACAGGAGTCACCAGTCCCGTCCCAGGGCTCTTCCCCAGCCTGGGCTCGGTATGCTCCCCATGAAGTAGGAGAGAGAGGAGGGCTGAGGGGGAGCCTAAGACCAAAATAGTCTGGGGGCGCTGTGGGTCACGATTCCAGTGTCTCCACGGAGCCGTGGGAGGACATTCTCTGCGACCAAAATAGCTGGGGGCTGAGATGGGGCGAGGCTGGAGGCAGGAGGGAGGCTGCTGGAGCCGTCACTGCCAGCTCAGCCTTTGCAGCCCAAGCTGTCCTGTGTCCCAAGTCCTATGTCCTGTGTGCTGCAGACTTCCTGTGTGGAAGGGCTCGGGTGCCCAGCTCTCTCCAGCGCCTCCCCACTGTCCTGGGGAAGCCCAGACCCCAGCAAGCAGGACAGGCCCAATGCCCCTCACTCATCAGAACAGGTGGGACTCCTGCATCCCTGAGAAGGACAGAGATAGCCACAGACCCATGGAGAAAAAGCAGGCAGACCACGCAGGGACGGGACCCAATTCCATAACATGCCACACTCGTCAGCTGTCCTCCTGGGCACAAAGAACAGAGGGAGCTGGTGACATTTCCCCTCGTGGTGTTTCTCCATGACCGGTCTACTGGGATCTCTCTGTCGCCCATGATGCAGGCGAAAACGCAGCACAGAACTATTGAGGGTGTTCTTAGGATAGTCTGACTTCAGGATCCACGTGCTGCTCCGCCGCGCCCTGCGTGGTCCTCCACGTCCCCTCTGACTGGCCCATGTCCCCCATTCAACTCAGGTGCTCGTTAGGCTCCAGCTCAGTGGCTTCCAGGTCCCAGGGGACAGCCCCTGAGGGGACAGCTCCAGACGCAGTGCCCTGGGGTCTTAGCACACTGCCAACAGTGCGGACTGTCCCAAGCTGGACCCTGATCTCATGTGCTGGTCACCAGGACCGATTCCAGTCCATCTTCCTGTTCTTTACCCAGAAAACTTTCAGAATCAACCCAGAGCATCTGCCTACCCTGAGAAAACTTAGGTTGAGTCATCTCCTCTTCTGAGGCCTGAGAACCAGAAAGGGGAGAAAACTCGCAGGAGGCAGGTGCCCCTGAACCAAGATGCGGCAGCTGCCTGGCCAGCTGCCCCTTGCTCCGACCTCTAAGAACAGTGAGATGAGAACACAGACAGCGTCACACATTCCTTGAAAGCAGGCCGTGGAAGGAGGCTGCGGGGCCTCCATGCGGGAGAGAACAGAAAAGGAAAGGGTGGCCCCTCCAGTGAGGCCCAGAGAGGCCAGCGTCCCAGAGGCCAGCACCTCACGCTCGCTTGCCCCTCACACACACCCTTCATGGACCTGATTCACTGATTCCTCCCATAACTCCAGGAAGGAGATTCCAACACTGTCCTCATCTGGCGGGCAAAGAAAGCAAGCACTAGGTGACAGGTGACAGGCCCGAGAACTGTGCAGCTAGAGTGAGGTGTCTGAGGTGATCTGGTGCTCCCGACCTCGTGCTCAGTGTGTCTGGGAACCACGCTGGTCAGCAGAAAGGCTGGGCATTGAGGCAGAGTCCTCTATTCACCCAGCAAAGGTCACTTGAGCACTCACCGTGGGCGGGATAGTGTTCCTTACGTCCAGGCGGAGGAGACACACAATAAATAGGAACTGTCAGGTTGTGATGAATGACTTGCAGCCAAATGAAGCAGAGTTGGTAGGATGGGAGTCTCAGGACTGTGAAGCAGGGTTGTTACTTTATGTAGATTCGTAAAGAGAAGCCCCACATGTAAACGATACTGAGGGAAGTCCCAGCAGATGTGAGGTCCTGGACTGTGAAGAGACCCCTCAGGAAAAAAGCCCCTCACAAGGGACAGAGAGACAGTTCCTTCCCACCTTAAGACAAGTGCGAGAGGCAGCGAGGACCCTGGCTTCTGTCCTGTGGGGGAAGGGAACGCAGAAGGATGGAAGTGTGAAAGCCTCACTCTGCAGAATGGAGGTAGTCACCCAAGGCCTGGCGCAAGGCTGACCATTCTAAGAAATGACAGCGTCTCCCCAGTGTCCAAGGCTCCACGAGCCCAGGGCCATCATGGCCAGTAGCTGTAGGAATTTCAGCAAATGCTTGAACTCCCCAAGCAGTGAATTTTTTTTTTCACATCCATAAAAGTAAGGATAAAAAATGCCTTTAGGGCTGTTGGGGAGACCAAAGAAGATCAGGAAATTTTTGGCATGCAGAAGAAACTGGTGGCTTCCTTTCTCCTGGGGGGTGGGGATGCCCCTACCTGCCTCCTCCTCAACTTCCTGGTTCTGTGTTGTAGACTCCCAGCTGGCTGAGTGCCGGGGCCCCCCTGAAGTTGAGGGCGCCCCCCTCTTCTCACTCACGGAGGAGAGCTTCAAAGCCTGCCACCTCACGCTGACGCTGGATGATTACCTCTTCATTGCATTCGTGGGCTTCGTCGTGTCTATCGCTTCTGTGGCCACCAACTTCCTGCTAGGCATCACAGCCAACTGCTGCCACCGGTGGAGCAAGGCCAGCGAGGAGGAAGAGATCTGACGGAGGCGTGCAACCCCTCCCTGGCTGCCCTCTCGGGCCCAGGTACCCCGGCCACCTCTGTGGTGGTTCAAGCAAGATCAGGACGCTACATAGTGTGAGCACCTCCTTACTATTCCGGACACTGTGCTAGGAACTGGGAACCTAAGGCGGAGCACACTGGCCCTGCCCCAGGCACCACTTCCAGGAGGGGACAGAGACTTGGAATCGTCCCATTGTGCCCACCTGCCGGGACTCTGAGCGCAGTTACAGCCACCCAAGGCAAGGACCTCACCTGGGTGTCTCAGAATCAGGAAGGACAAGTGTGGAGTGCTTGTGGGCTGGGCCACCTGCTTTGCAAGTGGCCAGAGCCAGGAGGGGGGCTGCACAGAGCCCTGAGTGCCCCTCCAGCACCAGCCATCGTCCTCGTGGCTGCCAGCGCTGCCCTGGGGCTGATAAGGCTCCCACCTCCTGGGCAGCACCCGTCCTCCCTGCTCTGGCCGTGCCACTCTGCCTAGCCTTGGGGACTCCCGGGGTCACAAACCCACAGCATGGCAGCACCTGGGGCTGGAGCAGGAGGAACCCACCTCAGCCATGGCCTTGGACAGGCTTGTGTCTTTTTCAAAGCAGCCCATCGTCCCTGAGCTCTTCCAAATATCACCACTGTGATGCTTGTACTCCCAACAGTCCCTTCCTGAGCTCATCTTCAGAGGCGAGCGCCGCCGCTCCGGCTTCGCAGGTGAAGAGGCCCAGGCTCAGAGCTAAGGCCACTGCTACTTCAGCATCAGGTGGGGCTGGGAGCAGGGCTGCACGCCTGTCATCCCTACGCTCTGGAGGCGGAGGCAGGAGGATCGTTGTGATTTCAAGACCAGCTTGGGCTACGAGGTGAGCTCGAGGCCAGCCTGAACTGCATAGCGAGACCCCGTCTCAAAAAAAATCAGATGAAGTCAGATCCCTTTGCTGGGGAGCACCACCATCCCTCAAAAGCCACATAAATTCCAATTTCAGACCTGGCGATGTGGGCCCCGGAGGGCCAGCACCCTCTGGGCAATGTTGCCGTTGTCATTGAAACCCTACAGCACCAGGATTTCTTCTATGATCCCCACTTCACAGAGGGCTCAGCAGTAGGTAGCCAAGTACCACTGTATCCCAGCTCATCTGGGGGACCCTCAAAGAAGGACTCTGGCATCCCTAGTCAGGGAAACTGCACAAATCTTTCCGCCAACAAGCCAGGCAACAGCACAAAGCACAATTACTGTCATCGTTGTCATCTTCACCTCCATCGACACCGTCCCTGGGTGGCTCAGCCCAGGACAGGTCAGGAAGGCCTTTCCCATACCTCTCCCGGGCTTTTCTCTACTGCATGTGGGAGGCAGATGGAATAGCGGCAGCCCTGACATAGAGCCCACCTCTCCTCAGGGCAGGGTCAGGCTCAGCCCCAGCCCGGTGCTAGGGGTTGAGCACAGAGGCCCAAGATTCAGTGGCCAGGAATCCTCCAGTCCCGGGGAGTGAAATGCTGCTCAGAGGCAGGGCTGAGCTTGCTGTGGACAAGCTGCACTTGGCGAGGTATTGACACACCGTGTGGGCAGTGTCTAGGCTTTTATCACAATAAAAGACACGTGGCCACGAATCTCCTTCCACTTCGCTTCAAACACACTTATTCCGTCATCCTTGCCACCCTCGGGAACATCTCTCGAAGGCCTCTTTCGGGAGTGTCTCTAGTTATGCTGTCTTGGCTGCCTTGATGTCCTCAGTCTACTAAAAATGCTTCCCTTTCATGGTCATTTCCACTCTGAGAAGAGCCAGAAGCACCCGGTGCCAGGTCGAGTGAATAGGTGGAAGAGGACGCGCCATCATGATTCCGGTGGCCAGCTCTCGGTGACAGCTCTCGCTGTGTCCTTCATCGCACCTCACAGGACACTGTCACCGGAGTCTGCGAGGCCGGGCAGTCTGAGAGCAGCAGCTTCTCTCTTGTTCTGAGCCCCCAAGGGCTGCCATTGACCTCTCCTTCGTTAGCAAAGAAATGAATGAAGGATGGGGTGTCGTCATCAAAGAACCCCCTCACACGCCATCTGCACTGAGCTAGTCCTCTAAAAACACCCCCCAGAAACCTCAACTCTTTGTCCCCGGAACTAGGGCCAGAGCCCTGCTCTTGTGACTCTGAAGCAGACCAAGGCCCAGACATGGCCAAAGGTGGCGGCCTCAAGCCGCAGTCCACCAGTCCAGTTGGAGCCGGAAGTATCTGCACAAGGGCATTCAGAAGTAGTAGTCCAGACACAGTAGCTAAGCTTCTGCTAGAGGAAGGCCCCGTCCATCCAGGATGCTCTCCCAGGAATGACTGTTCTGACAAAACACACTTCATGCATTTTAAGACATGTACTTTCTTCACCTTTTTTGTGCAGAGAGCTAGAAGCAGGTAAGACACCAAAACCCCTTGCCATCAAAGGTCCTTTACGGTGGGACAATTTGGTCTCCACAAAACAGCAAAGGTTTCTGAGGAGTTGTATGCATCTCTAGCTGCTAGAAAGTTCCTGGTTAATCATGCACAGTTAGGGGAATACTAAACCTCCCTCCTGACAAGGAATTCCTCACCACCACCACCACCACCACCTTCTTCAGTCTGTCAGAGCTCAGCTTCTCGAAGTCAAGTCTGCATGGGCACCACAGAGCCATTTTGGTGTCTCCACGGGAGTTTACCGTGTGTGCTCCCCCTAGCTGACACATGTGAGATGGGACATCTCTGAGTCCCAGTGTGTCGCTGAGGTTCCATTTCTGTGGGTTATTTACTGGCTTGGGGAAGATCTCTCTGCAACTTGGCTGATCTCTGATGCAGTCCACTCAGCCATCCGACGCTTGCGTGGTGTGCTCTGTACCTACAGACAGAAGCCTGCCGAGCTTGGGGTGGCCTGGCTGCTCAGAAAATAGAAAAAGAAAAGCTCTGCAGCACAGGCGTCCTCAGGAGGAACTGAGCTGTCCCTGCCTCCCTCCACCTCTGCCTGCCCCCTCCAAGATGTGCCCACCTCCCCAAGTTTCCTTCATGCTGCACCCAAGGACAGGAGACCTTAGCCAGCCGGCAGAGCTGGGGCTGTGGTGGCCAAGGTGTGCCGAAGAACTGCTGTTTGGAAAGAGCCCCCATGTGTACCACAGCTCTCCGGACAAGTTGTCTCTGGTGCCCCCAGCTCTCATCTCTTTCCATTCTCACAGGATCCCCAGGGAACCTTGCAGGTACAGGTCCCCAGAAGTACTATAGAGTTCCACGGCCCCTTTCAAGGACACGAACATCTGAGGCTAAACAGACCAAGCTAGGCATTTTGCTTCAACCATCGGAGACACTCACAGCCCCGCTTCTCCATGAAGCTTTCTCCTTGCCTTCCAGTCCAGTGCTAGCCCACATCAGGAGCTGTCATTGTTGATTCCTCAGAAGGCATCTTCCAAAGCTAGAGAAGTTTGTCTGCTCTCCCCCATCCCAGAAGAAGGCAGAAGGGAAGCCAGGGAGAGAAGTCACAAGGTCCTCTTGTAAGCCACCACCGCATCTGCCAGAGCACCTGTTGGAGAGCTAGACCCAAAGAGCTCTTGGCTTTTCTAAGGGTCTCCTGCCCAGTGCTGATGCCTGGCTGTGGGAGGGTTGAGGGTGGGGAGGGTCTCGAGGGAAGACGCCAACCTTTGTATGAAGCTGATTTTATAACCATCCTCTTTTGTAACTTTGAAGAATTTTTCATAAATGTACATTAATAATAAAGAGCATATAGTTTAATATATTTTCTTAAGAGTTGTGAAGAGGAGGTAGAGCGGGGGAGGGAAGGAAAGAGAGACAGAAAGGAACTAGGTGGAACCAAAAGGACGCATGCCAAAACACATGCACCAAAGGTCCGTGGGGAGGGAGAAGATGGAAATGATCAGGAGCCGTGCCAGCCGGGGAGGGGTGTGTGGGAGTAGACGAAACATTGGAGAAGCCTTTTCTACCAGGCAAAAAGGAATATGCGTGTGTCTATACGCAGAGCCCCTGTGTGTAGGCATATTTTGGTATCTGAAATTACACAAAGACAAGAACATATGTTTTATACATGTTGCTGTTTGCAGTTTGCGTCATCCCTAAAACATGCCAAGGCAAGTGGGTACGCCTAGCTAATTAGCATCCTTGGGGGCACGCGCCAGGGAGATGGCCCAAGCCAGCAGTGGGGGCAAAAGGACACCAACTGAGGTGGACAGGCAACCCGGGTGCCTGAGTGAACGGTGTGGGGGCTGACAAGGACACTCCTGGGATAAACTTCATTCCTATCCTCAAAGGCTAATAAAGAAGTGAAAGCATTCAGAACCTCCTGGGTCTTGCAAATGTTGCCCGCATGTGGTCAGAAGTGAGATGAGTGGACGGTGAAGCCTGAGGACAGGCACAGCATAAGGAGGCAGGTGTTCTTCCCCAGGGACCGAAGCAGCCATGTTCATTGCAGTACTCTAAGTAAGTAGGAAGTGGTGCTCAACAGGAAGTCCACCCGAACCGGAAGTGATTCCTCCCAAGAGGGACTTAGCGTCCCTCTGTGTCTCCCACTCCACCTGCCGCGGGGTACAGGCAAAAGCCTCACTCACAGAATCGAGCCGCCAAAGGGAACACAGATACTGACTCACGACATCCAGATAAACAAAGAACATCCCCGACTATAATTAGCATTTTCTGGAGTAGGCTGGAGGGAAGGGAAACCTTTCTCTCTAAATATTTATACAGACTATACAGTATCACAGAAGACTAGGCCTTGTGTGTTTCATTTAGTGCTGTTCCTAATGCCAACCACATAACTAGCAAACTGTGGCGATGGTGGGAGTGGTGCTGCTGGTGCTGCTAACGTTCACTGAGCACTCATTGTGTGTCAGCTATTTAAGCACTCTGAGTAGATTAACCCAATTTATTCTAACCACGACATAAACAAGATGCAGACAGGTGATAAAGTTGGACAGCTAGTTAAGTAGCTGAGACAGTGATACTTGGTGACTGACTGGATTCTGGTGATCAGAGCAATAGGAGAAATTGGGGGTGGGGAGTTCCACTGTCAGTGAGAAATAAGCTCTTAGCCCCTGGGCTTCCTTACAATTACAGCTGCCCCTTGGTGTCCAAGGGTGATAGGCCCCATATGTTCCAGGGCCTCTGTGCATACCAAACCGGTGGATGTTCAAGTCTTTTCCATAAAATGGTGCATCGCTCGACATGAGCTACGCCCCTCCTCCCTTATACTCTAACTATAAGGTTCTCTCCAGGCTATTTACATGCCTCATGCAATGTCAGCATCATGCAAATCACTGCCCTACGGTAGTGAATGACAAAAAAAGAGCCTGTGTGTTTGGTACAGAACCAAGTAGTTTTTTAACATTTTCATTCCTCAGTTAGCGGGACCACGGATGAGAAGCTTATAGAGGAAAGGTTAACTGGGCTCCGTGGAAGGAGGTCAGAGGGCAAGAGAGGAAACCCACACACCCAATGACTCAAGGCTCTGATGGCTGGTCCAGGTAGGCCAATCATGGCAACAGATGGTCCCCCAATCTCAACAGATTAAGCTCTTGTTTACTAGAGTTTTCATGCAATAAAGGCTGATTTCTTGCACATGTCCCAGCTGGGTGCATGTCAAGGGCTCTGCTCCACAGGGTTTCTCAGGGACACAGGATCCTGCGCTATGTGGTTCCGTCCATCCCTGAGTCCACAGGGTCCTTCAGTGGAAGGATCTCAAGGAGTTTAGGAGCAGCCAAAGCTGAAAGGATTCTCCATCAATTCTGCTGTATTCCACTGGCCAGGACCCAGGCCTGTGCACCCACGGGCAGAGGGCAGGCTT